TGCTCCTGCTGTTGCTCCTGCTCTTGCTCTTGCACCTCCCTAGTTCGAAGTGGATTTTGAAAGACTGGGAAGGCTTCAAGGAGAGTTCGCGGAAAGTGGTTTTAATTATCAGGGTATGTTCTATACATGGGTGAAGAGACTAGTCAGTCTAGAAGTATACTTGTGTTCTGCCAGAACAAGACATTCCAATTATGAAGGACCTTATATCATAGAACCCAGTCTAAACATCTATCACACCCAAGGCTTACGTAATTCTTTTCTACGCTCGTAATTTGTTGACCATTCCGGCCAGGTTCTAGAGTGGGAGTAGCCATGGCGTACTGAGACCTTCTCCTCCGAAGTATGATTAAACTGAGCAAGCACGACCCTCAAACGGGAAGCGCCCCAAGAATAACAAATAAACACCACTAATCTCACAGCAATGTTCCAACCACCAATCCAGCACAAAGGGTTCCGAGGTTCAAGGGGGAACGAGGAGTCCAAAGAAGCCCCGACTCTAACCTCAAACCAAGTCGAAAGCCCTGCCTACAAACGATTCGGCTTCAACAAAAGACATCTTACACAGCAGACAAGCACTTGTCATCAGCATAGCCAGCATCTATACACCAACATCTTCCTAGAGGCTCCATATATACTACGATTATGGAAATCAGGCCCTTAAAACCATAATAAAGATGGTCTTTTGGGACCTAATTCCATACTGGTAGTCTATATGGAGCCTCTGGGCATGGTTTGGGTAAGTACCCCCACCCTAAGCCGTGAAAAGCAGCCAGGTGCAAGGAACTGGCCACCCCACACCAGCCTCAGGTTTTCGGGTTCGGGGTTTTAGGTTTAGGGTTTCGGGTTCAGGGTTTGAGGTTTAGGGTTTAGGGTTTAGTTTGAGGTGTAGTTTACCGAGCTTACCCTGAACCTAAGACCTAGGATATGGGTTTGGGGGTTTAGAGCGGGGGTTTAGAGCCCAGCAAGCAGCCCCGAAACCCTAGACCCTAGAAAAAATAGCATTCAGGACTACCATCAACACTGGAAGCTGCAACTTGTTGACGAGCTCCTACCGAAATGCAGCGAAGAACAAGTTAGTTGTCCTCATAGGTTATTCAGCCCTAAACCCTAAACCCTAAACCCTAAACCCTAAACCCTAAACCCGAAGCCCTAAACTTCAGGACTCGCGGTTTGAGACTTAGGGCCTCTCGGCTGAGGGTTTCGGATTAAGGGGGTAGGGCTTAGGACCGCGGGTCTAGGGGTTAGGGTTAGGGTTCAGG